TGATTAACCAATTACTTGATGATAATCATCATTTTATTTTCCTACTTTCCGACTTTTGCAATAAATTTGGTACTATCAGTTCAAATTAGGGCTGCAACAAATGATTATTCGGATTATAAATAACTACACTATCAAATAACTTTTATGCAGCTATTGGCTTTTAAATTTAGAAGACAATAAAGATGAATACCATTCAAGAATTGACTGTTTTAATTAACTTTCCTGCTAATACAAAAGATAAAAAAATAAAACTCCAATGTATTTTTCCTGTCAAAATTTATATCCAAGGATGTGCAAAGTAGCAGTAATAAAACTAAATCAGTTTTTCTTTAATTAAGTAAATAAAAAAAATCAATCTAAATTTAAATGTTAAATTTAAACAGTGCAGTCTGTGCTCTGTACATTCTGCTGTCTGTCTAAATGCAACTAAATTCTACAATCACAGGTGTTTACTGAAACGGTGGAAAGTCAGCATCTCTCCGTGCTCCTGTGTCTCGCTCTCCTCTGAGAGCAGATACACCCCTCAACAGAGAAGTTCCGCTCGGATAGAGCGGATGATAACGTGGCGAATGTTTGTGGCAAACTTCTCTATGAACAGTTAAATTTGAACGATTTTGTGCAAACGCTTCATTTCAACGGTAACCCTTTAACCAGCTACCTAAACTGTTAGCAAGTGGTGCCAAGCGTTTATGGAAAACAGAAAACTTTGCAAACGCTCTCCTGCGTTCGCCGAATTTGAACGCAACAGTGGCCTCGGCGTTAAGACGACCATGCAGTGTTTAAAACTGTAAACGTTATCAGGAAAGTGAACAGAGTTTCAGTGAATAATAGTTACTTGCTTCTCTGTTCCAACTCCACTAAAGATACCAGGGAACCTGCATTTCAAAATACAAATATTACCGCTCGGTTCACAACATGAAGTAGGACGCCTTTTAGCATTAACATTAGCTAACTAACTCACTAGCACGACTATCGCCGCGTCCCGAACCACACACTTCTATACTTAACACACTACACTAATGAGTGCACTTCTAATGGTATATGCACTATTTTTACACACTATTTACTGAGCTAGTATGTGATTTGGGACGTGGTGTATCTTACCGAGATGAATCTTCATACAGTGAGCCGACAAGTTTCCTCTTCAGATGCTCCATCATGGAGGATTTGCTCCCGTAGCCAGTTAAGGTCGGCTTTACAAATAGCACAACTGACAACCTTTTTTCTGAGTTTAGCTCCCACATTTTGAAGGTTTTTTTTTGTTCTTGAGGCAGCTATCACGCTGTTGTTAGTTCTCCAGTGAGCGGTAATGTCAATGTTTCTAGAGAGCGCGAGAAAAACGTATAATGACGTCACCAACTAATCGACTACTAAATTAGTTGTCAACTAATTTCGTCGTCAATTTTAGTCGACTAAGTCGAATATTCGTTGCACCCCTAGTTCAAATACAGAATTTAATATGGATATGTGACTCTATCCCTGATGGTCTTCTCTGTTTAATTAAAAGTAATCAAAAGGTTATAGAGGATTTCCTCTACAGAACTATATCATTTCTATTAATGGGGTTGATATAATAGATAAGAAGTGTAACAATTTTATAAGCCAGCTTTTATTTCGTAAATCTATTCCATTAGCAACATTACAGTGGCCAACTCAACAAAGGCAGAACAGCCGCACAATTTGGACTGTCCCCTATAAATATGTTCTTAATAACAAGATAAAAGAACTGCTTTATAAAATATTGCATAGATGCTACCCTGTCAATGGTATGTACATTTTTCGACATGAGTGATGCATGTACTTTTTGTAAAGGGGCTACAGAATCCATTGAACACTTATTTTTAATTGTGTATTTTCTTACTCATTCTGGGTTGATCTCTTTTTTGACCTGAAGAGAAAGACTGGTAAAGAAATCCCCCTCAAAAGCCACTACGTTTTATATCTTTTTGATGACTTTTTTTATAATAAACCTCATCATAACAATAGCCAAATTTTACATACATAAGGTGAAATTTGCCAGAAAAATACCTTCATACATCACGTTTGTATGCACAGATCTGTGTAATTACATTTCTACATTAGTGAATTGGCACCAGCAGCAAAATAAGAAATATTGTAAATCTGTTGCTATGTTAAAGTTTTTCAATTTTATTTAAATCCAAATGGTATTCTTTTTGTTTCTGTTTTTCTTTGTTCTTGAATCTTTATTTTGTTTATTCTGGGATGTGAAGGCTGTAAGGCATCCTATTGTTATACCTCTTTGTATATATATGGTTATATGCTGGAAATTCACCAAAAGTCTTTGGACTGTGGGAGGAAACAGCGCCCAGAGGAAACCCACACAGAGACGGGGAGAACATACAAACTCCCATTTTTTTATTATTATTAATCTGAAATGAAGAACTGTTGATTTGCACTGCATAGGATACGTGATGTGACTTTCTGTTGATCATGCATGAAGGGGGTAGGTGAGCCATGTTTTTTTGTATTTGTCGGAGACGCTTAGGATCTTTAGGTTTGGGGACTTACTGTACACTTAAAATAGCTGTTAATTATTTGATTTATGCTTCAACTTCATAAATTATTTATTGGGTTGTTTTGTAATGTATTGCTTTACATTTGAAACTGACAGAGGGACACTAGGCGACACTAAAACTGAATCACCCCAACTTACTTTACCATTCGCTAGATGTTTACTTTGAGTGCCATGGCAGCAAGAAGACGACTTCAGGCTCTTCAGGCCAACTTTAACAGACTTATTGGTCTCAGAGAGAGGAAAATGCAGATGTGGGTAACATGCCAAGTCGACAAAGCTGGGTAGACCGGTAAGATATTTTGATCTTACCGATGGAACGTTATCTTGAATTTCGAGCTAACTGCGTTAGGTTAATGCTAGTTAGCGGAAACCAATAATCGTCCATGTGATCAATCAGCGTAGTTCTAGCTAGCAAACAGGGAGACAAATTGCAGGGATGTAAGTTATTATTCAATTTACATTTTTAATGCTGATCATTCAGAAATGATAAATAACTTTTGCGCTGTTTAAAAGAGCTAAGTTTCATCCTTACAACTTCTGGAACAATGCTCTGGAAGAGAATTTACTGCAACTAACTTAACGCTTATCTCGTTTAGGCTATTTTAATTTAATAATGTTACAAAGACAAGAATATGGACATAGTAAGCAAAATATCAAATTCATCATTTTAAATGTAATATCTTTTTGCACTTAATCCTCCAACTAATCAGAAATGCTAAACGTTAGGGCATTAAATAGTTTCACTCAGATCGAAGGTTTGGTTTTTATGTAATGAAAGGCTCTAAAGGTCTTAAGTCTCGAGTCCGAGTAGAGTCACAAGTCAAGATGCGGTCTATGGGTCTATCTCTGTGTGAACTAATTGGGAAGCTCATCATCCGAGCTATAGAAAGGGCAGAGAGACAGCTTAGGTTGGAGGGACGACTGAAGAATGACAACAGCGTGTTTTTATTGGATTTTTTTGGGTCCTTTTTTTGGGGGTCTTTATGCTCTAGTTAAATATACTCAATTTAGTAAAGTATCAGTACCCTTATCGGCTGACTTTGAATTGTAGTGTGGTTGTTGCTATCCTCTTCCTCTTCTCAGCCAACTTTTTTTTTTTTATCACATATGATACAGCATAAAAGCTTTATCTAATAGCGCTAACTAACCTTCACATTGTACCTGTAGACTTAAGGTGTTTCGGAGGGAAGCAGACAGCAGCACTTCTCATTCAGCAAGATGCCGCTCTGAGAGGATGTGCACTGTAAGGCTTGCCTTACTTCAAGACCCACATGAGGAAATTCTTATTCCAAGATGTAAGTATATACATGGCATTGATTACTGCATGGCAACATAAGTCACTTGAGGTAATTCCACCAACAAAACAAAACGTTACGTCTTTTTTAGTAAGTAATCAATGTATTTACATATCTTTTTTTTATCATTCATTAATTTAATTTGAGAAACATAATATATCACTGCTGTTTAAAGAAAACCGTGTATCTCCATTTTTGTCATTTTTCAGTTTTTGACATAATTTGAAAATGCCTGTTGCCCTTTACATTGTGTGCAAATTTAATGATGAATGGACCAAAAGAAACGGCCCAAAATGACCTGGAAAAAAGTCTGGTTCCATTGACTTACATTAAAAGTAAAGTAGGTTTTTTTCCTTTTCCTGAAAGTTATCATTTTGTAGATACAAGGTCTTGTTCTGACAACAGCGATATATTGTTAGAAAACCCCAGAACCCCTTGTGAATACCCCTGGCTGACACTGACTAAGTAGTCACCCTATTCAGTTGGGTTGATAGGAATCCTTACACAGACATCTACCCAGTCAGATTTCAGATTTCGTCACAATATGTCAGTAACAAAGGTAAAACATAGGAAATGATGCTAGCCTTAGGAGTTAATCAGTGAATATTCTGAGCAATGCTGCTAAGTGATGATTCTTGATGACGATTATGTCCCTAGATCACATCTTATGAATATTAGGAAACTGTAAAATACTCCAAGTCTTCACAAATCCAAGGACTTATGTTACCAACATGATCAACTGTAAAACCTGGTAGACTACCAAAACTTTCATCATTAGATGTTTTGAAGTCTTGTTTCTTTACCCTTTTTGTCTGAACCTATATTCTGCTTTGCTTTCTCTCTCCAACAGATACTTCTGCAATTAAAAAGATTGTTGTGCCATATGCCAAGACAAAGAGAGATTTCCAGCAGAGAGTTAGAGAGACATTTCCTGAACTAGAGGATAAGGCTTTTGAAATATGCAGGGTTGACCAGCGGCGGAGAATCCAGAGAGCTGAACCCAGTGCTCAGTGTCCGGCTGTTATTAAGGCATGCCCAGAGTTCTCTCGTTCAGCAGTTTACATTCACTTTAACGTATAACCTAGAATGCATTGTTTTATACAACTGCTTATTATTGTAATTTCAATAGCTAACATTTTTTCAGGTAAGTTAGCTAAGCATTCACTCACCCTTTTACTTGTCTTGACCGATAGCTGCAACAGAAGAGAGCAGTGATCCAGTAACCATTTTTTCAAGGTTTAGTCCATCCCCACTGTTGCCATTTTCTGAATTCATCTTCTTCCCCCCACACAGGACATGCTGTCAAATGAGGAACAAACAGAAAATCACTTGGTACTATTTAGAAACGTTTACAATTCACCATCACCTTGTTTTTTTTTTTTAATTCGGTCACTATGGGACTCATAGAAAATGCATTTAGATGAAGTTGTCAGTAGTTTTTTAAATTTACTTTTGTGCTGGGTGCAACGTGATAGAATGACTCAGACGCAGATAAAAAGGGGAAAAGAGGCTTTACTGCTAGAGTCGTGATCCAAAATCGTAGTCAGTAAACAGGCACAGGTCAAATCTAAAAGACAACACATACAAAAACACAAACATAACACCAGGCAAACAGGCCAAAATGGTTCAAGCAAAAAAAGCAAAGTCAAAATACAGAAAATCAGTCAGAACCAGGACATCACAACAAAGAAATGAAACACTCAGTAGCTCCTGGAAAGAAGCAACACCTCACAGACAGGTGAACTAAAAGCCCAGGCTTTATACTAACACTAACTAGGGTACAACAGGTGAAATAAATCAGTATTTGGGAGACAGAGAGTAGTGATTGGAGCGTGATAGAGTGTCAAGAGTCACGTGATCCCCCAGAGGGTTCTGGGAGATGGGAGTCCATGGAGGCCTCTGAGCCAGAGGGATGCATGATACTTTTTTTCCATAATAGTTTATGAAAAAACAAAACTACTATTTATAACCACTATTAATTAAAATCACCATTAATTAAATTGCATCCACTATTTATTAAATTTTAAAGTGTAAATTTTATTTCAATTCATCTCATGGCTCTGATTTTTAGATAGATATGTTGTAAACCATTGTCGTAACACTGTCTTTCTCTTAACCTAGCATGAATCTAATGTCCCTGAGTCTGCACATGGAAAGTCAAATGAAAGTGTAAGTAATAATTTTCTGTTTCACTCAAATTCAACATGAAGTAGGGTAAGGATGCATAATTGTAAATGGCTAAAGCATATGTAGCTGACGAAATTTGGTACTTGTTCACTTGGATGATGAAGGTGAAGAGCTGATGAGAGAGAGAAAACAGTACTTGTTATGAGATCTTACAATATCACTATTAGATAGAGAGTACTTAACATTCTTTGTTAAATGTTGGATATTAAAAACTGTTTGATGGATTTAAGTCTGGACTTCAAATGGACATTCAAGGACATTTAATAATTTGCCTTGAAGCTAATGCAGTGTTGTTAGTGTCCCTGTCCCTGCTGCTGAGAATCACCTCCATAGCATCGTGTTTCATGGTGCATGAGTATGGACCTGCATCAGTAGGGATGGTATAAGCCAAATGATGTACAGTGCCTGTTTTTGCCAGGCATAGTGCTTGCTGTTCTGCCCAAAGAACTTCCATCTCATCAGACCAGAGAATCTGTTCTTCAACCACCACAGAACCCCCACAGGGCAGGTATTATTTGGGTGGTGGGTCAATTCTCAGCACTGCAGTGACACTGATGTGGTGGTGTGTTAGTGTGTGTTGCACTGGTCTGAGTGGATCAGACACAGCGGTACTGCTGGAATTTTTAAACACTGTGTCCACTCACTGTCCACTCTCTTAGACACACCTACCTTGACCCGTAGATGTAAAGTCAGAGACGATAGCTCAGTGGTCACAGGACACTACCCGTAGGACGCTGTTGGCTGGACATCTTTGATTAGTGGACTATTGTCAGTCCAGGAGCGACAGTGAGGTGTTTAAAAACTCCTGCAGCACTGCTGTGTCTGATCCACTCGTACCAGTGTAACACACACTAACACACCACCACTCAATGCAGTGCTGAGAATGACCCACCACCCAAATAATACCTGCCTGTGGTGGTCCTGTGGGGGTCCTGACGATTAAAGAACAGGACAAAAGGAGGTTAACAAGTAGCAGGTTAACTACAGTTTGTAATTGTATCCTGAAAAAATGGACAAAGACTGCAAAAATAAGAAAATGCACATAATGAAGTTGCTAATCAGTGTGTTAACACACACACACACGAATAAAAAATGCATGTTGATTGTGCACTTCAGTGCACTTTAGTAATTTTATAGCAAACTCATACATTCTTATTTCTCTGTGATATTGAAAGGACTTGGTGGCACAAAGTGTCCTGATAGAAGAGCAAGATAATGAGTTTAACTGCTCCTTTGAAATAGACAGAACAAGGGTAAGACTATTTAGTATTCAGACTTTCTGAATGTTGTGAAATTCTGTTACTATGATTTATTAATTACTTGGAAAGACAAGACTGTAACATTTCTATGTAAGCAGTATTATGTTTGAATATTGCTATTGGTTTGATTTATCTCATGCTTTCAGAATGTTTTGGTACATCATACATATTATGAAGGATATGTATATATTGTTGCTGCTCAGACATTTACTTTACATTGCACCTTTTACATTTTAATAATAGGACATGAGACGAAGACAGATATTGGAGTTGGAGAGACAGCAGTGAATAGAAGGAAACATATTGGCAATATATCTGAACCAGCAGAAGGTTTTTTAATACAGCTGAAATATCCAGAACCGGAGAGTTCAGATCTAACACACCTGGCTTTAATATTTGGATGTCTTTAACCGCTTTCATTACCTCAATCAGGTGTGTTAGATTAGTGTTAAAGCTAAACTCAGGGTCCAGGGTGATAGGTCTCCAGGATCAGAATTGGGCACCCCTGTGTTAAAATGTTTCACTGCTCAACTCTACAATTTGCACTATTTTAATGTTCTGTTGTTTTGCAGGAAATGCTGGCCCAAACACAGAACACAGAATGTTGTGCTTTTAATAGTACCACCACCTCCAGTCAACCTTCTACAATAGTCATAATGTGAGCTCCTTTCACTCATGTGTCCCTGCTTGCTTCTGGCATTTCCTCCCCACTGGCTTTATCCCCTCCTGCTCGTAGAATTTCTCCATCCCCTGGCAGTTTGTCCCCTCCTGCACGTAGAATCTCTCCATCCCCCGGCAGTTTGTCCCCTCCTGCACGTAGAATCTCTCCATCCCCTGGCAGTTTGTCCCCTACCACTCGCAGAATCTCTATATCCCCTGGCAGTTTGTCCCCGGAGTGGGGTAATAAGTATACAGCACATCAACCAGTTCTCATTAAGTTTAAATCAGACATTGATATTAACTTAATAAAATTACACAGCTAACATCCCTATCCATAAAATGTTATTTCTAATAAAGTGGAGTGACGCATTAAAAAAAAGTACTGAACACAATTCATATTTAATTATTGGTAGAGAAGACTTTGTTTGCAATGACAGCTTCAAAACCTTTTTAATACAAATATCTGGTACAAAGTTGTTGAATGTTAATGTGAACAGCTGCATAGGAAATATATTTAATGACAAATTTGGTGATGTGTTGAATACTTATTTCCCCCACTGTATGTCTGTGTTTAATAAATTAGATACAAAATGCATCAACAATTGAAGAGGCAAGAGATGCTATCTTTGAGGCATCCAAAAGCCTATCCATACTTGGCACAATGCGCCATATCAAGGACCTTTTTCAAAGGGACAGTCTGGTCCAGGAGGCTGCCCAGGATTACTTTGAAGGAGGAGTCAAATTAGGATTTGAACAGTAAGAATAGTAATTCTGAAAAACAAAGAGTGCTTTGTAAAGATGGCACCAAGTGTAAAAAATTGATTTATTTATTTATTTTTGTTTTGTTTCATTTTATTTAAGATTCTTGAAAGGATTGCAGACTCTCGGGTTGGCAGAAGCTGTTTGATGTCATTCCTCAAAATTTCAAGAGCTATTTCTGAAAAGTGACGGATCCCTGAAAGCTAGGGACCTCATAACACTATTCAAGCCAGTTTGGTCACTCACTGGAAGCAAAAAAAGGTGGGCAGAGAATCAAGTGATGTTCTTCTGGAGGGACTGTATTTTACTCATCAATTAAAAGAAACCACTGTAGGACCACTGCTGACTAGACATTAAGTGGCAGATCATTCTTGACACACTGAGACTTCAGTTCAAAATTAGGTTTCTGTAAAATTTTGCTTGCAACACAGACATAACAACAAACAAATGTTCCATAAAGTAAAAAAATTAAATACCATGTGCAATAGAGGTGCAACACTCACTTTCATGTTACCAGTTAATTTCACATAAGCTGTGGCTCTTAATCATCTTTGTTTGTTTCATTTTTTCCTACTTTTAAGTTTATAATCAGAAACAGAATTTGCACAGGCATACACAATATACTTTACAGTATAGTGGTGTTCTCTTGTTTATTTTTAATCATAGACCTTTGTATTTTCTGTTAAGATACACAAGCTTGAAGTGCCAAAATTACATTTCTGTGCAACAATTTGGAGAATAAATCTTCACAACATGATAGATAGAAAAAAGTTCCATTTACTTTCTGGAGATCTGATTTACTTTTTTTCTCCTGATGTAAACGTAAATATGAAGAAAAAAAAAAGGAGATCATTTACAATTTTCACAAGTGCTGTGTCTGTACTATGATGTGGTCTAAAACCAGACTGAAATTTTTCATGTATTTGATTCCTACGCAAATGGAACTTAATTGTTCTGCCACAACTTTTTCCAAGACCTTCGATATAAAGGGGAGGTTCAAGATCTATAATTTGATAGGTCTATAAATTGATAGCTTGCAGGGATTAAGATTAGCTTTCTTAATCAGAGGTCTAATTACTGCTAGTTTAAGAGTTTTTGGGATATAGACAAGGCTAAGAAAGGAGTTTATTATTGACAGAAGAGGCTTGGTTATTTCTGGCAAAATTTCTTTGAGTAAGCCTGTAGTAATTGGATCTAATATGCAGAGATTCCAAGTAATACTATTCACAGAAACCTAGGTCGGGGGTTCCCAACCTTGGTCCCTAAGCCTCTCTGCCCAGTGAATTTTAGTGTCTTCCATGCTCCAAACACACTTGATCTAATTAATCAGAATGCATCCTGAGTTGATCGGGGTTCATGAGGGGCATCAGGTGTATGGGGCAGACAAAAGTTGCAATTTTGCAAGACAGCAGGCACCCAAGACTGGAGTTCAGAACTACCCATCCAGATCATACACTTTACAATTTTGAGAAAAAAATTATACACACACACACACACACACACACACACACACACACACACACATTAGCATTATTCTAAGACATACTGAAGAAGCCAAACTATTTTTACAATACACCATTTATGCATACTACGCTGGGCTTCAATCGTGTTGCAAAAACTAGCAGTCCATGTGCATGTTGCCTTATGAATTCACTAATATGGCAGACAATAAAAGTAAGACTAAAAACGTCAAGACTTCATAAAAGTGAAAAGAAATTGATAGGTGTTTTTCATAAAATACATGGACCCAATGGTGTCAAGTTATGTTAAACATTAATTTGATCAAATTAATTTGAAAAAGATAATTCATACCTTGTTCATCAGCTAACGTTTGCATCTCTGCAAGGAACGCTGAAAAATAAATAAGGGGTAGATTAATTCCACTCTGGCAATGTCTGTTAAAACATTATCCGTCCATCAAAATAACAACGTATAACGCATGTGCACTCCATTAATATGGAAATAGATTTCTGCTCGTTCAATATTAGCAAAGTAGAAGCGGCTCGTGTAACCTTCGAGTAATAAATGTATGTAAACAGTACATGAAACATAAGTTACCTCAGTATTATAGTCTCTGTTTGAACGTTATCAGACAAAGCCAAACGTGTACATTCTGTAAAAACCCTACTACAGTTTAAAAGAAAATTTCGAAGAGCCATTGTTTTATGCCTCACCAATGTCTTGGCCACCGATATCCTGCGTCTCCAAAACCACTTTGACACTCAGCGCGTCGCAATTACGTGATGACACGTAGTTACGCGCAGTTCACGCAGGGCTCACGTAAGCGCCTCATTGATGTAGAATGCCAAGAGCCGTACAGAAAGAGTAGCGTCAACGTAAGTTCAAAATGCTTGATGGTCACGTGATTCACGTAGACTTCGGATAGTTCCAGGAAGTTCTTTGCGGGCAATTTAAACCCATAAACACAGAGCGACAGAACTGCGTCTTTTGGTACTTTAAAGTCAATAAATGCACCGATTTACAATATTTATATAGAAAAACCAACGTGTGTGTGTAGTTACAACAATGATAACTATATTTTAAAGTCAAACTCGCTACTATTTGAGGATTAAACAGCTATCGTTACCTGGCTTGTTGACATGTTGGGTTAATGTGAACATCGTTTCAGAGTGTGTTTTCATTGTTTCATTGCTTTGACTTTTCAGTATTATAGATATTATGTTCTGAAACTTGTATGGTAGTTAAGATCAGTCATATCCTCATGTTGATATACTTAGAGGGAGGGGAAGAGAAGGAATGTTTCAAAATTGAGATCAGATTAATTTTCAACATAAATATAATTAACAAATACATCTTTAATTAATGGTTGTTTCAGTAATCCCAAGGCCTAGATAATTTTAATGACTTGATGACTACTGTAAACTCTATGACTTTCCGAAAAGGACAGAAGGAGAAGGAGCCAAAGAAATCTGTTCAGCATGTATATGCAAAAATCTGCTATTAAAAAGCGTACATTGAAACATCACATCCAGACCGAACAGGACATAAACACATCCATTTATATTTGTGTGTACACAAACATTTTATATATCTTGTCTTTTTACTATGCACATATTTACTGCGATGGATTCATTAAATAAAGCTATAACGAACTCAAACATGAATAGCCTGGCAGGCAGTTTGTCTGTGCCCTTTGCTCCATGTTGTCCTTGCATATAGTCCCCAGGATGGTTTGCTCTGCTGCATGGAGATGCTGCAATCGCTCGGAGAAAGGAGTAAAAATGTTTGATTTCCTCCACTGACACAGAGAAGAAAAAACTGCTGGCTCAAGTCAGCAAGAGCAATTACTAAATTACTTACCATCACTAAATATTACAACAACAACAACAACAACAACAACAACAACAACAGACACGGCATACGTTTCACAAACAAAAGCCACACCACTGGGAAGCTTAATGTTTTATTTATTAAAAATAAGGAACAGGTAAAGAATTCCAAGACCCAGGGAGCTGAGACTCAGGGTGCAGGGTAGGGGGTGCTGTCTCATTGTAGGGAGTCTCTAGGCTGAGTTGTGGTTCTTGCCATTAATCCAAAGTCAACTAAACTGCAACATAATGTACAGATAACAGTCAACAGAATCACAAAGCCTGCAAACACTCAATCCATAAGTCTCATTTGTTTACTCTTTAAAGTCTCCAATAAATCCACATCAGTAGTGACGTATCACGAAAATAGCTCTTTTTATTGTGTAACTTACATTAGCTCGTACGCCTAAATGGATAACGATATTTTCATTTTATCTCCTCCACCTCCACTCTACAAGCTCATGCTCCAGTGTTATATTTAACTAATATTTATCTCCCACCCACCCCATGAAAAATCATGTTTAGAAGCCTTTAAGATTTAACAACAGTGGATGAAAATATTAAGAGCAGGGATTTTACAATTACTAGGCTGTTTATGGTTAACATTATGGGTTCCTAACTTTACTCAGTACCCTAGCCTAATCGGTTGTTATCTGTTAATGTTCCTTAAATCTACTAATTTAGTCAGGGATAATCCACTGACATGCTTTAATATACATGTTAATTTCATTCAGATATGCTTATTATGTACAAACTGATTCTTTAAATGTCTTACCCTTTAAAAGAGCATCACATCCGGTCTATTCTGCTGCAACTCGGCAGCGCTGCTAGTATTTGCTGCTAACTTCCGGGAACTATTGAGAGGCTCCACGATCCGCCATTGCTGTGTTAAAAAAAAATAATTAAAAAAAAAGAAAAATAAATAAAAGTCCATTGGCGTGAACGGAGTTGACGCGACTCTCTCTATACGGCTCTGGGAATGCCATACGTTACATATCGTCAGGTGTTGTCACGCCCCCTTATTAAAATGCAGATGTATTCATATACAGCTTTACTGATTGGATGTAATGTCAAGACGTGTAAACGCCTAATTTTTTACTGCCTGCACACTTGCATAGAAAAAGAGAAGCGAACGGCGGCTGACAAGTATAATATAAGTATTAGGTTTAAACTGAGGCGCATGGCTTTTTTTTAAACCTCAGTAACCGGCGGTAAAGCATGTCCAGCTCTAATACATGAAAAAATGAAGGAAAAAAACAAAAAAAAAAAAAACTTAAAAAGTTTCTGGCTCCATCTTTAAAGAACTTTAAAAGAACTTGACGAGAGCGGGGTTTGGTCAGAGAACTTGTAAAGAGGAGAATTACCACTCTGCAATGTCTTCCGGTTTTCTCAAACGCTAGAGGGAGCTCCCAAGTGAGTCCAAAATCAATGGGTTGATATGAAGCATTTGAGCAAAATCATAGTTTGTGGCAGCCCCGTTATTGTATAACAGACTACGCCACCCCTTGGTTTATACCTAGAGCAAAGGGGAGCTCTGACCGTAGTAAATTCACAAATGCAGGTTCAGAAAAATACAAAAAATACAAATCTTTATTAAAGAAAGCTGAGGTCATACACTGTCAGTTCAGTTCATAAAACAAGAATAAATAAATAAAAACAACCAGTACTAAAAAAAAATTCACAGTACTCGAGCCTTGGCCCGTTGGGACACTAACGGAAAATTATTCTCTCAGTGACACGCGTGAAGAGATTCAAAAAGAAAAACGGAAAACACCATTCCAGCAATACATGCTAATCATTCCAAATGCACTGCACTGCAAATTTCTACCATTCTAGTGAACACAGCAATCCATCCCCAAACATTCCTCAGTCCCAAACTCCCTGGACTAAACTTAACCCCACGTAGACTGGAATACAACTAAAGGAAAATAATAGTAATAAAAATAACTAAAAGAAGTTGCAATCCCTCTAGCCAGTGGCTCACAAGTCACCAAATACCCGTTTACACACACACACACACACACACACACACACACACACACACAATATGGCCACATGCAGCTTAGGCAATAAAAAATTTTAAAGAAAGTTAGAGCAGCAACTCAATTAAAACTCAATTAAAAAAACCCACAATAAAAGTAGCAAGAGAACAGCAACTGGCACAGGATATACGATGTAATTAATCTAGTAAAATACAAGAAAAAGACAGGGCATTTTTGACTTTGTCCCTCGTAAGGCACATACAGATGAACAAATTAGTATAAATTAGTAAATTAGAATAACTTGATAGCCTGGCTCAGAAACATGGACTGAAGTCAAACATAGATGATTACTCTGCAAAACACATCTATTAGCAGCAGCAATAATGCAACAGCTAGAAGCTACACTCAAATGCTTCTTAAAACAGCCATGTTACTGAGCCAAATGCTAATAACAAAAGCAGAACATTCTGCACGATACAAAATCAAAACATACCTGGGGTACTAAGGCCAACGATGTAAACTGGACGCTACAGTTGGTGCTGACTTTGCTCCAGATTTACCAGCAGAAGCAAAGTAAGCAACATACAACTCAACATACCCTGACATAGTAGAGACTGAACCCGCGGTTCCAACAAGGAATGCTAACATCAACACGCCCGCCGACTGAGCCTAACAGCAATGAACCAAAAACTGCTACCAGGACCCCAGTGTTGGTATATATGCCTGCCCCAAAGACCCCATGTGGCTCTGCTCTCATCCTAATTACTGATGTCGCACACAAAGAAAAACACAAACAGAAGGCGTTCCACTACACAGGCTACATTTATAAATGCTTAAACATTTTTAATGTAAAAGAATGCAATCATTTCCTGAATATTGAATAGCATAAAACATTTTAACACCGCTGTTATATTTTTAAGAGCTTTTAAACTCGAGCTATAAGAGTTTAAAACGGCACCTCATGGATGTCCATGACGTCTGTGAGCGCGAACAGCCAATGAGCTGCTCCGCTCCTCAATCAATCATCACGCTCTAGCAGTAATGCCCGCCTTCTGCTGCCCAAAACCCGTTTGCTGTAGAAAAAAGAAAACATATAGGTAAGATTTCTTTGTTTTTAGTGAAATACATCTTTCTACTTTCTAAAATTAAAGAAACATTCTGGGCAAGTGATTAGAAACTATTTTAACTTTTCGTTTTTGGCCGTTGAGCTCCATTTGCTCCCATTCATTGAGGACTCACTCGCGAGCGCCCTCTGCTGTTTAGCAGTCCTGTTTTTGATATAACGTGGGGGGGAATAGGAAGTGGCCAGGCTCTTCATAAACAGAGCCGGTTTGGTGGAGCAACAGTAAGGGCGGGAACTGCGGTGCTGTGACGCAAATCCGCCGTAGGGCAGAACGTCTCATTTCGGTTCAGCCCTCACGGGTCTAAGCAGCCTTTAAAGGACACGTTTCAGTAGACCGCGTCCTTCGAAGGATCCAGCCCCTGAATTGGGACACACTATCTGCACGTGACAATACGTAGGAGTTTCGTAACCGCAATGTTATATCACGAGACTATGATTGTGCCCCTCCTATTTCACACGTGGTCAACGCATCATTGTCACATGACCAAAACTCCGTGAAATGAGCTACATTTACAAATTGATTTACAATTGCAAACTGCAGACTTGATTTGTTTGGTTCGAGCCAAAAGCCAAAAAAACTTGTTAAAGAATGAAAGCATTTTTTTTTTTTGCATGGATGCAATTTTGGTTTATATTAGACCAAAAAAACGAAAGGTTTCTGACGATTTGGAAGTTGGAAATTTTACATAAACTGTTGTGCTTAGCAAATACACTTTTCAGCCTTCATTAAAATGATCTTATTCAGAAGGTTCTTTAAGAAAAGTAATATTTTGAAAATGTATTCCATAGAGCACTGGCACCATATTTTATATCAGAATAGAAAGAAAAAACAGCAGATTTCTGATTGTTTGACTAATGCCCATACTCACAAGTGGTGTGGCTGAGACATACTGTTTTGCTGTTACTTTATTAACATAATCTTACTCAGGAAACATTAATCTATAAGAAAATTAAGAAAGTGGCATTATGAGGAAAAATATAGGTCTGCAGGAGAAGGGTTGGGAAACACTACACTTAGCATTAAATAAGCAGAACTCAGAATGAGTTCACACTCAGCATTTCATGTTTAAAAGCTCAGAATAAAAAGAAAATGCCATGTTATTTTTTATAAATATAATTCCATGTTTTTATTGTTCTGTTATATCTATTTAAATACAAATCCCATTCCAAAAATTGGGTTGGGACAGCAGGTGAAATGCAAATAAAACAAAAAGCAATTTATAGATCTAATTTGATTTATTTGAATAAAAACAATACAATGACTTTTCAGTTTTTAATACAGGCTAAACAAATTTATCAATCACTGCTGTTTTAATAACATTTCACGTACTGTCCCAGCTTTTTTGGAATTGAGTTTGTAGGATATCAGGTCAGGTAAATTAATCTTTATTGTCATTCCAGCCATATACAGGTGTGCAGTTAGATGAAATAACTTTCTCTAGGGCCTTGGGGTAACATGTAACAGCACAGTAAGCAAACAGTGCACAACTGTGCTGTTGTGTATTACAGAGAGTCTTTCACATGCAGCAGCATATTAAAATAGTAAGTGTCTAAGCAGCATAATGGATTCCTGGAGTGTAAAGAGGGTGAATAAAATAAATGGCCATAGCCTGTGTTCATAATGGGTATACTTAACATATGTTAATATAAATTTCAAAACTCTTTGATACCACAATTTTAGTCAATCCATTACTGATATTATTCTATCCATTAACATTATTTATTTTGTGTTTAAATGTATACCTAAATATGTAGGAAAATGTGTAAACAATAGTTATTGTGTATATACTTAGGCCTACACATAAATCTGATCCACAAAGTGCACCCTGCTGTATTAGTCCACTTTAGCTGCCCACACTCACCAAACAAAATAATCAACCATGTGTTGGTTTTGAAGAGATGAAGGAGAGAAGAGAATTTTTTTTCTCATTTTCGATTCATTAAAATCTAGATTTAGGACACATCCAAGATAAGTGAAACATGGAAAGTGCAAAGCTAAAGACTGAAAAGAAAAAACAAAGAAATCACAGAAACCATTAAAACTTTCTCTTGGTTTATGGTGGTGTCCAATAGTCTCAGTATTTTGTGAATTCAGACCATGACTTCAATATGTGGTGGTAGTATGAGGGAAGATTGGTTGAAGGAGGGGGGAACTTGGGCTGGAATTCTGGGCAGCTTCTGCCTGGGGCTAGAAGGCCTGACCCCCTCATAGCTGTAGTAGGACTGATGTTGGACTGAGGAACTGTGAGATGGGGTGGCAGTTGGGATTGCGAACACTTTGTCACGGGAACAGAGGTAAGGATGTGAATTTACGGAGTGTTAGATTTCAAGAACAAGGGTTTTCAGCCATGTTCCTCCCCCCAAACTTATTACATAATCACATAACTACATTTAGTGTTTTTCTGATGAGTTGATATCACGGTGTCAAGGACTCTACTGGTTTAACAGGTGTTCAGGGACTGACTCCAGATGCATTTGAAGGTTTCCTGATGGGATCTAAAGGTGTCCTACAGAAAACTAGTGGTCTCTAATGGTAACCATTAAGCTAATTCCCATTAGCAAGCAAAAACCATCAGGTTTTAATCCTAATGGTTGCAATAGTCTCTTTTCGTCGGTGAAGAGACAGATGCAGAAAAAATAACATCTGGTACCTTAAATTTCAAAAGCATAGCTTTGTTTAGAGTTATTAAAATATACTTAAAAAGAGAGAAAACTCCACTTATCTGCCAGAGGCCATCTCAGAAGACGGTGAGCGTGTCAGTGTAAGAGGTCTTATATCCTCTATGTGAAGTTATATTTTGGCGGCCCACTAGGGGGCATCAGCACACTTTGGGAAATAGCGTAGATAATTTTTAGATTGGCAGCTTTAAAATGGCATTGAGACACGTAAAATCCTGCCACTATTAAAAGTAAATAAATTTCTCCTGCACATGATAAAAAAATCACATGTACAGGTTTCATAATGTTTCGTCTGTATATGATCATGCTTGGCCGTCTGCACACAGAAATATTTTGCGCGTGAGCACATTATTTCCGTCTGTACAAGTATTTCTTTTACGTCTGTACAGTGTATCTAAAAAACCCTTACACTTACCTAATAAACCCTGGCAGCCACAAGGGATTGCTAGCATTGCTGCACAGCAATCGCATGAACTGCTTCAAGAAATGCATCTTTCTAGTTGTTTTAGTGTGCCATTGCAAATAGCACATTAAAAGGTAATATAAACATTTACGTATAAACATTTACAAAGACACTGCATAAAATGACGGTAAAGTACGGTATATTTAAACATATATATTTTACCTTGAAATAAACATCATTTAACAAACATATTTTGACATCTTGTTTCTGTAGAAACGATGGTATGATTTTGCTGAATAGTGAAGGGTTTTATACTGTTAATGTAAAAGCAAAATCTGTAATTTAAACAAAATTACAGCGTTAATTTTAAGGTAATCACTTGCTTATTACATTATGGTATTTTCCCATTAATTTTACCAAAATTTTATATTTTTGTAGTCAAATTGTGTATTTTCTGCACAATATGACAATAAAAATTAAAGTTATTTACTGTCTCTTGATTTAAGGCAATTTAAGGTGATTCAAATCTATTTCAGTGAAATACTGTTTGATTTTATAGTCTTTTACTGTTGCCATTTGATACTTTTTACTGTAATTTCTACAAAATTGTGCAAACTGCACCTTTTTGATGCATTCATTTCACTCAAAATAAACCATAAATTCTGTTTTACATGGGTATTGGTCTTTTAAAAAAATGTGGTATATAAAATATATATATATACCTCTGTCCAGCTTTGTTCAGGGAGAAACCATGGTTGATAACATGGTCAGTTTAGAGTAGCTTTCATCAGAAGTTTGGGATAGGCTCCAGTACCCCCCACGACCCAGAAGGATAAGCGTGTGTGTGTGCATGTTATTGAAAAGTAGAAAGGCAGCTTTACTATTACTGCAGTCATCCTCTCTCTGATGTAGCAGTACTTGAGTACTGGAGTATTTGTTCAGACTTACTCTAGTATTTTACAAAACAGATTTAAAGTGCTGCTTCTAGTCTATAAATCATTGAATGGTTTTGACCCAGATTAGATTGCTGATATGTTTAAAGAATATAAACCAAGTAGGTCTCTTAGATACAGGTCAGTGAGTAGTGCCTAGAGTCCAGACTAAACATGGTGAAACAACTTTTCGCTGTTTTGCTACATATAACTGGAATCAACACCAAACAAAGATTTTACATATGCCCCAAGTGCAAATCAAGGTTAAAAATATTTCTTCTTCTCATACAGTGAAGACTTGCACTTAATTTCTGGTGTACTTTATTTTTAGCATTGCACTTTCAATTTGTATTCACTTATTTTTAGTTGTCTAATTTCTGTTCATTTTCATTTTTAATAAACCTTTAATTTAAATAACACTTAAGTACTTTGCCTTTTACCCTCTAAATGGCCAGGGCCCACAAGCAGGCTCAAAGTTTTATTACACACTTCTATAACCTAAGAATAGCTCAATCAGTTTGCATTTAAGTCCCTACTGAATGATAAGCCTTAGTATGTTATAAGCCTGGGTTTTGAGGGGTTAATTTATTTTTTTATGTTTTTATTTTGCTTCGAAGTTTGTAAAGCACTGTGAATTGCCCATGTATACAAGGTGCTATCTAAATAAGCTTGCTTGTCTTGCCTAGACTTCTCACCTCTTGTTCTGATCTTATTTGATTCTATTCTTCTCTTCCTCTTCTCCACTCTTGCCTCTTATACTTC